TCCGTGGCGATCATTTTATCCACGCCGCCCAATTTTTTTGGACGATGATGATTCTATCGATGAAAACACTGTTCATTTTCGTCCATAGGCATTGTGTAGGTGCTTCCTTTATAAAAATATCAATTTCGAACCAAAATATAAAATATTTTTGCATCAATGGGCTCAAACTCTATCAATGTGAGTCTTGGCCATGGTTTTCTAATAAACAATGAATTTCTCTACCATTTCTCAACCTTCTTTTGAAAAATTTGTCTCTACGACTGGCAATCAAGACCCTAGCAAATTCAGATATAAGGCATAATATTGTCGAGCTTTATAGACCACAAAAGCCTCTCAAGAGAGTGCAATTGTAAAAGTTTTTTTGTAAAAGTTTTTTTAAGTGTTTCACTCAATCCAGTTTTATTCCGGGAGTATATTCGCCCAAGGCATGATTGCACCATAGAGAGTTTTTGTGTCTTTGGCATTTATTACATTGAAGATGGCACGAACATCCTGTGACTCTATGTCCAATTAAACCACAAAACTTTGTTTTGTTTTGGGTAATTTTGTGGGGAAAGCAAGCCCTACTCGTTTTTTCACGTAAATTAGGAGTTAACTTTTTGAAGGTATAAGTAGAGTGGTGTTAATGGTGGGAATGAAAACCACAACATGGTAACTAAAGTATGGGGTGCTACCACCACGACTCAAGCCCCTTGCTTTATAAAAATTCACATTGCCCTACAATGTGTTCAATGATTCGTAGAGAAGACGCGGTGTGACTCTAACAATCATTATTTCATTGATTTTGTTTATGAGTGGGTTGGCTTCTAAGTGGTCTTCCTCAGTTCGAGATTTCATCTCTGTGCTTGCCGAGGCTTAGAAAGCTCATTTTGACCTTGTTAAGGCACGAGACTCAAACATTGGACTGTGAACTAGTTTCTCAGCTAGTTGAATGCTAACTGAGCATCACTACCGAGGTTGAGAGTAAAAAACTGACTCTGATTGTATGCTTAATTAAGATTACTCAAGTCCAGCCTCTATTTCATTGTGTTTTAAGCTTTCTTAGCACAAGTTGACTGGAAATAGTCAATTCAAAAGTGAACAAAGAAGAGAAGACTCCAAAAAACTATAATAACTAATAAAAAGGTTTAAACTTTGACGCTTCTAGATTGACAAAATCAGGTACTTTGGAAAATTATCTCTAAAACTCTGAAGCACAAGCTTAAACCGACATCTATTTATAGTTCAAAACTTAGCCTGAACCTCAATAATTCTAATACTAAATATAAATCGAACTCCTAATTACAACTTAATTTGTGATGATACCTTTGCCAATGAGAAAATGTGATCAAACAAATGCGTCCTAAAAAAACATGAACTGTTAGATCAACTTCTAGAAGCCATAACTTTTTGCTCTGAGGTCAGAAATGACCTCATTCTAGAAACAACATGAGCTCTATAATGCCAAAATATGCAAAGCAAATATTGCCTAGCTAATTTGGCCACAAAATATCTTTGAAGCCTTGAACGCACCCTTGAAATTTGTTCCTCAAAGTCCATCAACATCACCAGTGTCATCATCATCATCGTTAGAGCTTTTTATCAACTATTTGGGGTCGGCTATGGTAAGTCAATCTGCTCTATTAAGGGTCATACTCTTAGTGAAGTCATAAGTAATATTTTTCACTACTTTCTACCATATTTTTTCGGGCCTACCTTGACCTTTTTAACCTTCCACTTGAACCAACTAACACCTCCTAAAAAGTGGTGTATTGAGTCTACGATATTTCTTCTAATCTTAGCCTATTGTAGTGACACCTAAGTTATCCCAAATGTATTCATTTCGAATTTTATCTGTTTTTTGTATTGTCACTCATCCACCTCAACTACACTCACCTTATGGGTATGTTGTTTCTTGACCACCGAACATTTCACCGCATAAAGCAAAGTTGATCTTACAGCTGATCTATAGAACTTTCCCTTCAACTTCATTGGTATGCGATGATTACATAAAACTCTGGTTGCACATCTCCAATTTAGCCACACAGCTCTAATTCTATGTATGACATCTTCATCAATCTCTCCATTTTTTTAGATTATCAACTCAAGATATCGAATGAGCACTATTTTTGGTATTTCTTGGCCATCAATCCAAACTATTTCATCATCTCTACTCCTATTACTACTCAATTTGCATTCCATATACTATGCCTTAGTCCAGCACCTACATCACTAGTGTCTAATATCAAAACTTCAAAATATGGGCAAATAGAATCATCCACTTTAAGTGATTTCATGCAATTGTGGTCTTGATAATCTCCATTTAAGAAGATTGTTTCCAATAATTTTGTAATTCAGCTTTGACCCTAAAGCCAACAATTGTCACCAATAGGGAATTCTTTGGGAACGGTTCTCCATCACTTCCTGATTCTTTGTTTATGTGGGTAAATTGTAATTCTAAATTTCTTTGACAGCTCCATGTTTGATCCGCATCATTGTAGGCTCTCTGTTATGTGGGAGAGTAGTAGTTCTAAATGTCCCAGATGATTCTGAATTTCATCAAAGCTTTATTCGAGGTGCCATGGGCAAGAGGCTTTACCAACAGTCCATTAGATATCTTTTTAAGTGCTCCATTTAACCAATAGGTGTATTGTACTTGCATCTAGTAGCCTCATTCTTTGCAATGTGTGAGCTGCTGCCTCATTGCAGTCATGGAGGTGAGCAGAGTAAGAAAGAATTTTTCGATCTAAATGTTCTATGAGGAGGCCCCTCACCTCAGCTGGCCACAGTTTGTCTCAAGCACATCGAAACCGAGCACGACCATACCTTCAAGTGGAGGAATTCACCAGCCCGGCTTCCTTGCAGAGGGATCTCTGCAGTTAACTGTCTTTACTATGTTCGTGAGAAAATTTCAGGACCTGTAACCCCTAAATTTGTTTTTCCTTATTACCTAAGAGTTCATAGAGACTTAATTGACATGCAAACTCGTTCAACACTCCTCATAACATGTAATACCATTGCTTTCCTTTCCAGCCATATATACTATGGAGGTATCATCAACAGCAGCCTCAACAGGATCACTCCCTTCTTAGACAGTTGCAAACTGAAACCATTGGGTAAACATATAACTGATCGAGGCAGGGATCACCTAGGGAAACCCAAAAAGACCTAACATAAGGATCTCACCTCTCTGGGACCTACAATGGAAACACTGGCGACTAATGTCACTTTCCTTACACAAGGTAGATGTTGGTGAGGGGAATGCCAGGGTACGTGAAATGGTTGACTATGATAATTTTCTCGAGCAATACCAGCCAAAAGAAAGAATGTGCCTAGCAAGGCCCTGGAATTGAATGGGATTTCAGGCCACAAATGCACTCGCATCAGCAGCAACATCGCGGGCAATGAAACCATACATAGAGCACTCTATGAATAGGCCTCGGCCAAACAATTGTATCATCACCCATTGGGTGGTAATAAAACTGCTGAAAATTACTGAGGAGCAATGTTAAGGCCAAGATCTCCATGTCATGAATCCTACGATATCTCAAGGCAGAAGGCTAAACAGACTTGCAGCGCTTCCAGTAACACTCTCAGTGACTTGACGTGTCTGTCCCGGAAGCAAGGGCAAAGGGCCCAAGCACCTCATCCTTGAGGGTCGAGTTCCGAACAATTTGTCTAACTAGAATCCCTTCTCCCTGCCATCATTACCCTGAACTCTGATACATTTGATGAAATTATCTCTGCAGGTGTTGATACCCCTCCAAACCCGAGAGAGTATGGCCATGCTACTTTGTATCTTCACCAGAAACCTCGACTCATATTTATAAAAGACCGCCCTTTCCACAAATGCATCTGCAAAGAACCACACCACCCCATTCATCTTTCTAGTCCTTCTTAGGCCTAACCTCCTCCTTTCTTCACCTACAAACCCTTGGAACCTCCGCTCAATCCCAACCTCTAACCATGCGAACGTCATTAAGAACTGATTTTTGTTAGCTACACTTGCAAGGATGATGTAGAGGAGCATAATGCAGTTGCAAGGATGATTTTTGTTAGCTACACTTCCAGCATATGCATCTTTTTCCACTGTAATCGGCACTCCATCCCCCATAGTTTCAGTCAGGCAGTTGATAGCTTTACGCTCTTATTTGGCTTACCTTAAACCAGTGCTATCTGGAACATCAATTTTATGGGTGGTCCAATCAAACAACACAAATGGGGCACATTTGAGCCGGATGAGCCCCATACTGTTTCATTGGACATGAATCTGAATGGATGGTCTACATGGACCAAACTTATGGAGAGCCACATGAGCCTGGCTGATACAATCATTTCAGAATATACACTGTGAAACACAAGAATCCGCATGACTAAAGGAAATAGTCATCACCAACCAACAATTAGTTGGATAGTGATGGAGACAAAGTAGGACTGACCAGGGTATGAAAAAACCAAGGATGGTCCCACTCACAGCTTGTAACCCATCTATTGGAAAGTGATGACCTTCATGGCCGCAGACTTTCTATGCTCACCAGGATCATATTATAGTTTTCCCTACAAAATACAAGATAAAGCTTTATAGCAGAGACAAGAATGAGATTGGGATGATGGCATGTATTGGTCACATTGTTCACTATTGCAGCACTACATCCTGGGTTCAAATCCCAAGCTGACCAGCTTGAAAAGAAAAAGTATACTCAAGAATTCTTATGATATAGATGTCTTCTCATAGAAAAGTAAGCTCGCTTCTGACGCCAAAACTCTCTCGATCGGCACTCTCAGGACATCAGAGTCTGATATACCATACCAATACATCTCAGCTTTCTTCAGTTGCTTCCCTTCATCTCCACACTGCCCATGAATGAGAGCTTCTTCATCTGAGCCAACCAAAGCTCTCCGATATACTGTATAATGACCACTCCCTGGCCTTCCATGGTGCTCCACCACTGAAGTAAGACTGTAAAAGTATCCTTTTGGAGCAATAGAATCACCATTTCCGCCTCCCTACACCAAAGCAAAAGGTTCCAGAAAGAGAGCCATCCTATTATACAACATACACAAAGTTTTTGATCCTCGAGCCAAGAAAAGAAGTAGGGCTATTTAATAAGGACATGGACACACGTGTCATGCTCAGAGTGGCCACAGTGTCTGACATGGTAGCTCCAAAAATCATATGTCACATACATATTCATAAAATTCTGAGATGTCAGGGTATATAACATGGCTTTGCAAGTAAAATTAAATTAATTAGCTAAGAATAGAACTGACTAAAACTATTACACAGGTGAGCAGTCTTAGGCACGGGCTCATAATGATGTACACATGCATCTGGAAGCATGTGTTCAGAATTTGGACGTGTCTTATTGAGACATAATGTGTATCATGACTCAAAAGAATTTCAAGACACCATGATACACCTCCCAAAAGCATCAGAAAAGTCTCCCGTGTCAAGACATGAGTTGGACAAACACCTACGTGAGACCACCAAAACATGCGTGTCTGACAGGCTTATCATTACACAGGCTCGTTACATAAGACACACACTCTCTCTCTCTCTCTCTCTCTCTCTCTCATAGGTGTATATATAGAGGGTGCAGTTTATACATGGCGTCCACCTTCAAAAATCAAAGTAACATGCACCTCCAAACCTCGCTTGAAGGTGCAGTTCCAATCCCAAAAGCCCTCATGTTGCCTTGAAAATCTATTTCCACTCCTAATTATGAAATTTCAAGCTTCAATAGTGGTGCAGATCATATACCGATATATAAACACTTGAAAATGGACAATCCAAATAATATGTCAAAAGATACACTTTTTTAGGACTTGAAATCCTTTTTCATTTCATATATATGTATCCCGAGGTCGACATGATTAATTGGGGGATTTTTTATCAAAGGAATAGCCTTTTCCAATGGGGTCTTACTTCTATAGAATAAAGTTGACACCATATATAAACTGAGCTGATGTAATAGTATACGCCCAACAGCCCAGATTGAATCTGGGCCGATCAGACTGTCACGATTGCATTTTGTATTTGAATTTTAGTTTTTATTGTGTAAATCCAAATCACTTGAAATTTGAAGCATTTACTTTTCTCATTAAGCCAAACCTGATATAAATATTTAAAAACTAATTTACAATAAATAAAGTAAAAAAAAAACTCTAGAAATATTAGGGATATTTATTTTGGGAATTATTTTATGCATTTTTATTGGGTGTGTTTAATTTTCAAGAGTAGGCGCTCAAAATTTCAAATAAATTGGATTTGTATAAAAAAATAAAAATTCCAAGACGATACGTAATTGTGGCCATTTGATCGGCCCACATTAAATGAGTGTATACTATTTACATTAGCCCTTCGACAGACAAAATCTATATATATATATATATATATATATATATATATATAG